TGACTGAAAATTATTTCCAATCAAAATTATTATTTAGTTTAAAAGATTTATATTAGTATACAGATTTTTTTCTAATAAAAATTTGCATAATTGAATATCATTGATATCTTTATTTTTAATATCAAATTTTATTGGTAATACTGTTGCTAAATTTATTAATTTCATTCTTACATATATTATACATACATACAGGTATTTCTTGACCTTTGGGAAACTTAGTTTTCATACATATTGTTTTTTATATGGCAAATTCAGAATTGTACAAATTCAGTAGACAAAGTAATTTGTCTACTGAATTTGTACAAAATGTATAAAAGTCTAAACAAACAATTCAATTTATCATTTATGCTTTCTTCCAGTTCATTTTTATAACATCAAAATCATCTGTGAAAATTAATTTTTATTTTCTGTTTTATTTGTTGTAATAGTCACTAAAAAACAAACTTTCTTACCTTATTTACTATTGGTGATGTCTTGAATCATCTACATTGCAACATCACATGTGCCAATCGCTCTTATGTGCATCATAAAATATTTCTGTGTTTCTTGCTCAGAGAATTTCATTTGCTTTTAAGAAAAAGTTTTTATTTCTTATTTTACACTGCTAAGAATATATTTTATTCATTGGTTATTCATTCTTGAATTATTCAGTGTAGTAATTTTTTATTGGAACAATAGTTCTTTCCATCGTATTAGTTTTTTCAGCACATAGCGAGAGACATCATTCCTATGGGGATAGTGAATGTGTTATGAAATCTTTTATTGACATTTGCACATAATTTTAGAAATGCATTGTCTGAAAGTCAGTGGCGGCATGTGTGTGTTTTTCTTATTGGTGCTTTGTACTTTCAATTTAATTTGTTTCAGGAGGCCATTTAAACTCTGAATTCTTTTGAAGCCCAAATCAATTTTTCCCCTTAGAAATAGTGGAAAGTGAACTAATCCATTCCCAGACCATAAACAATATCCATTTTGATAAACTTAAACAGTAAATCCACCTAATTTAAGGTAACAATAACACAATTAAGTGTCCTAAACAATAAATTAAAACATGAAAACAATAAATAAAATATGTAAATACTGTGTAATAAAATGAAAATTGTATTTACTGGTTGCACACTATAAAGTTTGGCATGTTACACATGGCTGCCAGATCCACCACATGTGTGCTGCTTCCATGCTTTATGATAAGTTCCTTTTTCATCTCAGTTGTTGATGCTGCAACCTACCTCTTAGGTTTCATTGCTTCCACACTATTCTTAGAGACCATAGTTAATATATACATATACATATATGTAACAAAATGCATCAAAAATAAAGCATAAAAGCATTGAAAATATGAGCCTAATGTAAGAGATACTTTTACAGTGAGAGAGAGAGTTAACTTGGGTGCATTACAGATGGTGTTTACACAATGAGTGCATTTATTTCAATGTGGGCACAGTTTGAACTGTGAAGTATTGTTCAAACTCTGGATTGTTTGAAGTCTAAGGTACCACTCTACTTACTTCCTAAAGTAAGCTTAAAATTACTAAATATGAAGGAATTATATCTACAATAAAATGATAATAAGATTCTTATAATGTAGCATTGAATGTTAAGTTTTTAAGATTACTTTAATTTTTCAAAAATATTTCAGTTTCTGGTTACTAATAGTTTAAAATGTAATTTGTTTGATGATAAGAATAAAAAATAGCAATTGAGTCTAACATATTAAATAAATTAGTAAAATTATAATCTTGAAATATTTGTTTTAACAATAAATTTATTTATTTAAAAATATTTTAGATAAAGATATTTGATCTAGGTGCTACAGAATTAACTGATAGTGATGTATTAATAATGGGGACAGATGGTTTGTGGGATATTACTTCAAATGAGAAATCAGCAGGAGTTGTACAGAAATCATTAGATCATTTTCCTGCAAATGATATGCAAAGATATAAGTACAGGTAAAGTATAAGCTGTTTTGTTTGTATAAAATTTTAATGGCTTATTACACAGTTCCAGTAAATTCCAGGACTAGTTGTTTTAGAATTATAATTATGATAATAAAATAATAATAATCTGAATTTAGATGATGCTCTGTTGTATCTAACAAGTTTGGGCATGTCAATACACTCAAAATTAGTGTATAGTCATACTGTAGCTATGTGTTGTCAGAAATGTGAATATGGAGCAACATGCCATGATTAAGCTTTACAGCTGCCTGGGAAAATCGCTTATCAAGGTGTTTAAGAATCTTAAACAATTGATACCACAGACAACTTTATTGTGCACATGTGTTCGAGTGACATGCTTGTTTTCAGGAAGGCCACAAATCCATCAAAGATGACTCTTGCCCAGGGAAGCAATGAATCAAGACACCAAAGAAGACATTGAGAAGATCTGCACTTTGTTGAATAAGGAAAGACAGTGTGCAGCTGCTAGCAGAGATGGCAGATATCAAGAAAGACGCCATGCTTAAAATTTTAACTGAGGATTTGGGTAAATGCAAAAGTGTTCTCATCTTGTGCTTCAGCAGTTAACACATGATCAAAAGCAATAGAGACTGGATACTTGTTTAAACCTGTTTGATGCAGTGAAAGCTGATCAGGACATTTTGAACAGGATGACAAATACTGGTGCTTTCAGTTTGACCCAGCAATAAAAAGGAAGAGCATTGAGTGGTGGATGTCAACAGTTCCTTGTCTGAAAAAAATAGTTGTAGCATTTTCATATGAAGACAATGCAGATTGTGTTCTTCAATCATAGTAGTGTTATTCACTTAGAATTTGCTCCATGAGGAGGCAGTCATGCAATGATTCTGTAATATGTTATGGATTTGGTGTAACTTTAATGCAAAATATCTGATTGCTGTTGCATGATAATGTCCCAGTGTGCAGGAATGTTCAGGTAAAAGACCTTCTGAACAGAAAATAGGTTATACCTTTGGGGCACCTTCCTTATTTGCCTATTTAATATGGATACTTTTACTTTTTTGGATACTTTACTATTTTTTCTTCCTAAAATCAAAAAGGCTTTGAAAGGACATGTTTTTGATGACATTTCATCCATTCAAAAAGTAATGATGTACCAAATAAAGACAATAACTTCAGAGATGTACAAGACAATCAATGTTTTAAAGATTTCATTAAATGTTTTGAATAGTGTGTAAAGTAATGCCTTTTTCAGTGTTTCCAGTCCTGGAATTTATCACACACACTGTATATTGCAATAATAATCGGATATTTTTGAAAAAATTCAACAAAATACATTAAAAACATATTTCTTATATGTTCTATAAATGCAAGTTTTAAAAATTTACACAAAAAAACTAATTATATAATTATAAGCTGTATCATAATTTTAAAAAAATTTATATTTATAGTATGTACGTGAATAGTTTTAAAAACAGTATAAGTTGTGAGATTAAGGAGTACTGTAGTACATATTGTACTTCTTAAATCTCACCACTTAACAAATGTAGGACTTATCATACAGGATTTATGTTTAAAAGAACATGGCAAAATTAATCACTTTGAATTCTTATTACAGAATGAATTTCAGGTATGAACCCCTTTTCAGCTATTGACAATTTTTTAAAAAATTGGACTTGGGAGGGAGCCACAATTATAGATTTTATATATCGAAATGAAAGTAAAAACTATGTAAAATATTCCAGAATTTAAAAAAATCCTTAAAAATTCAAAAAAATTAAAATCAGTAAATAAAATCATATAAAATTATTGTAAATATGCATAAATTATTTGATTTAATAGGTAATTTTATTTATAAATAAAAGGATAAAAGATAAAAATATTCTCAAAAATTTTTTTTTAAATTTAGAAATAAAATCAATTATAAAGTCAATAAAAATTATAAAACTGGAGTATTAACATTATTGCAAAAATAAATAATTAAGATAGTCTTGGCATGATAAGTTTATCAACAAACTATACAAACCTGCAAGCATTTGATTTTTATCCAGTTTGTCTAATACAGTGTTTCTCAACGGGGGCGATATCGCCCCATGTGGGCATTTTTCCATGCTGAGGGGGTGATTAGGAACAATTTATATTTTGGGGGCGAAAAACAGTTTTATGGGCAATATAGTAAAACATTATATTAAGAATAATTAGATATTTTATTCGTTATATCATACAATAATTAAACAAATAACATTATACTAGTCACTAGTCTATTCAATTCAGTACAAATTTGGCATTAGCCTTGGCCCTCGGCATCGGAATTTTGTAGTGAAGAGGCAATACTACGTAACAGTTTTACTGAAGGGGGCGACGATTCCTTAGAGGTTGAGAAACACTGGTCTAGTATGTAATTGCATATATCAAACTTCATTTCTTTCAAATTACCAAACTATTTTAATACAGCTAAAATTTTTATTTTATGAGAATAAATTACAACTTATATTGTATTTTAATATGTTAAATATATAATGTTTATACTTTCTTTGAGGTATGGCTTAAGTAATTGAAAGTTGATATATATCTACAATAAACTTTCTTAACATATAGCTTTTCCAGTTACTGAAGAAGCTGAAGGCTTTTTAATGTAATATAATACAGTTTATTTTTGGTTAATGATTTATTAGTCAGATTATTATGTATTTGATGTGTGTGATTTGAAAGAAACTTATTAATTTAATAATTTATCTGATAAATGTTTTTTTTTAATATAGATACATATCAGCAGCACAAGATTTAGTGATGCATTCAAGAGGAAAACTTCGCGAGCGATATTGGAGAACAGCTGACAATACTCCAGCTACAATAGATGATATCAGTGTATTTGTTATACCGCTTCGACCTTATATTGAAGAATATAAACATTGGAAATCATTACAAGTATCTCTACCAGATAGTCAATAGGAATCACTTTTTGTAAGAATTCTTTAAAATTTGTGTTTTTATACATAAGTTTATCTTAAGATTTATATGACTATATAAGTTTGTAGCAAGTGTGTACACGTAACCCCCGTATAACACGGCACTTCTATAGCACGGATTCGCTCTAACACGGTTCGAGAATTGGTACCATCCCCCGTATAACACGGCACTTCTATAGCACGGATTCGCTCTAACACGGTTCGAGAATTGGTACCATCCCCCGTATAACACGGTACTTTTATAGTACGGGTTCACTCTGACACGGTTCGAGAATTGGGTAAAACCGTCGTACAACAGAAAATATAATTAATTTTTACATACTTAACTAATAATAGTTCAAGAAAATTATTATTTTCGTGAACTATTAGTACTTAAGTATGTAAATTTTCTTTTCTCGCCTTCTGTCGATACACATGGTCCTTCTCGAAACTTGTTTCAATGTTGCCAAATCTCGACGCTTCTGCTTCTGATGTTGCCGAATTTTTTTCCCTATTTCCATACTTGCTTTATCTTCATAAGTGCTTAGCACCATATAAGGAAATTTATAAAGACCTTTTAACTAGAAGCAAGCAATCTAAAATTACATACATTTTGCAAAAGGTAAAGCATGGATCTGAAGATAATGCAGAAAAATGCTCAGAGGATAAGGATAACTTGCCAAAAAAGAAAACGCTCTCGGTTAATTAATAGTGTTTTTAGTGATGACGAAGAAAATATTGTTTAATTTATATTAATATGTATCACTTAAGAAAATTTTAATGAAGATATTTATCTTAATTATGAAAATATACTAGCATGTTTTTTAATTTTTGGAACCTAACCCTCCTTTTCGTATTAGTTCTTTGTTTCGTATAACACGGATTCGCATAACACGGCAATTTTTTGGAACGTAACTACCGTGTTATACGGGGGTTACCTGTATTAAAATATTTTTATCAGGTATTGGTCTTATTTAGGAATTTCTATAATTTAAAATATACACTGACAAGCAAAACTGAATACACAGTATAAAACATTTTGAATCCAGACAGATTGGCAATTGTGATCATCTACTATTAATAGATATAGTGAGAATAAAAAATATATATATTTAATTACAGTTTACCATTGTTGTTTTTTTCATAAATTCAGTTTTACACCATTATAACTAATAACTATTAAATTATTAGTTCATGCAAAGATTCCAAAGCTTTACAAACATTTCTTCTTGGCACAGACTTCACTAGTCTTTTGTAGTTGTCAGAACAGATTTTCTCACATTTATCTTGTACTTTACTTCAAAGATCATTGAATATTTACGATGATGTAGAGCACTCCATATGCAAGCAATTTTTTAAAATAGATCCTCGAATTCCTCTATTAGATTAATATCTGGCTAATCCAGTAATTGTATTTGTTGTTAGTTTTTAAAACTGTAGTCATATTTTAATCTTAGTTATACTAATGAAACCAATTCCTGATTATAAGTTTTTGTATAAGTTACTATGAAGAAAATGGGAGAAAAATTCTAAATGATTATATATAGTATGGCCAAAAAGTTGCCAAATGGGAATAATCACTTGTGTACTGTTTGTGGGTCAATAGACATGTATGAGTGGATTGTTTCTTTGGAAAATAACGTTCAGTGATGAGTCCATCTTGGATGGCCATGCTCATACCAAAAATGCATAATACTGGTCTCAAGAAAATCCTCATTAGATGCATCAGTCCAACAGCTCTGGTTCTCCAAGGGTTATGGTATGGGCAGGTACAGAATATGTACCATTCTTCACAGCACTTCAAATATGACTCTTGCAGTGATGATGTGACGTCTTGCAATATGTAGAACACTTTTAGAGTGTTGGGAAAACACATTGAACATGAGAGTTGATGAATATTATAGTATATAACACTCCATATGCTAGTCTCAACCTGACTGTCACACAGATGGCATTGAACATCATTAAAGTCATTTAAAGTGTCTTTCATTTGTAATTTCCTCATTTGGCAAGCAATTTTTGGCCACACTATATATAGATGGTTTTTGGAAATTCAACTAAAATGTATTATATTTAATTTTTATCATATATGATATTATATAAACTTTAACGAAACAATTACTAAGTAATTCGAATGTTAAATTTATTTTTCTTGTATTTATTCTAAATATGCTGCAATTAATTTCAGAAATTTTATTTACAGTTTTCATTCCTCTAGTTCAAAGAAAGATTCAAGAAGATAATTGATGTTGTACATTAAATGATTTGAGTAGAAGAGACATTACATCCTTTAAGTTAAATCTGATTTTATATACTGTATTTAACAACTGTTTAACTGAAGTTTCTGAATTTTGTAATATATTTATAAAATTTGTTTATTTAAATATTCAATATCAATATTTTCATAAAGAGTATACTATGCATCTTTGTAATAAATATTCTCTCTTTATCTTGAATTATTTCAGATCTCATTAATCTAACATTATTCCAAAAATTTAAAAGATGTAATATTTTCCTATCAATATTAAAAATAAATTCTTAAAATATAGAAATAGTGATAACATTTCCCTTTCAAAGTTTTAATCAAAAATATGATGCTTTTTATTTAGAGAAAACCAAAGTCATCATTATTACCTATAAGGAATAAACTATTTTAGGTCTTTATTATTATTATTATTATTCAGTTATCTATATTGTAATAAATTTCTTAAGATATTTATAGAATGTACTGTTTTTAATTCCTATATATATATTCTCTTAATTGCAATGTAATTATGATATAATGAAGTTACACAAATATGAAAAAATTTAATTAATAAAAATTCATTCATGTCATCATGCATATAATAAAAACAGCAAACTATCAATTTTAATCTAGTAAAGTCAGTTGAAATGGCTTATAAGCATACAAATGAACTGAAATAAGATGATAATTATAGTCTTTTCAAAAAAATAATAATTAATAAATTTTAAATTAGTGAACTTTTTTCATGTTTGTGAATTAAAATCTTATTAAAATATATTATCTCTTCATTTTTAACTTTATACTTTAAAGTGAAAAAATAAGATTTTAAATATATAGTGAAGCATTGAAAATCCAAATTAATTGGGGTAGAACTCATTTAGACATTGAAATATATATGCAAATGTAAGTATTGTAAATTCCTGTAACACTGTAATTTAAGTTTCAGTTTAGGTGTTCTATGTTCAAGCCAGTGTTTCACAAGGAATATAGGAATAATCACAAAGATTCAAAATATAATTTACAGAATCACTATATGATTAGTGTATTTTCTGTTTAAGTAATTTCAAAATTAAAACTTATGTTGTTGATTTTCTAACATTCATTCAGAATTCGAAGTTACCATTGGAAAGGGTTAATAATCATTTGATGGCCAAATCTGGTTTTTCAATGCCTCACTGCACTTGTACAAATATAAAAATCATCAGAAACAATCTTTCATGTTATTTGAACTATCTGATTGTGTTCTTGTACCAAAGAATACATATTATATGCCAGTATTTATCAGAGAATACAATCTGCAGGTCTTTCATTGCTTTATACATTCCATTTAATGTTGTGTTCTTGCATTTTTGCAAATCTTTTTTTAATTGATTGGAATAAAAAATATATATAAACGGAGGTTAACGGGAAATCNTCTAAATTACTTAACTCATCAGTTTATTTTATGCAAATATGATCTACTTTTTACATAAAATTTTTTCGTTTTATTCATAATTCTAACTTCTGTAATTAAAACCCAATTTTTAACCCACTTATTAAAGGATCTCAAACAAAATTCAACTAGAATAGCTTTTCCCTGAAAACATTTTTTCAAACACTTGAAAGTTTCTGAATTGAGCCATTTTCAGATAGATTTAATGTAAATCTTTTGTACACGTTTAATGTAAAACTTGAAAAAAAAAAAAACAGAAAAAATCTTAAAAATGCTAAAACAGTTCTAGAAGAATTTCATTCTGAATTACTATATTTTACATCATACAAGATGCATTTCCATATCAGTTATCAGGACAGAATATTTAGGAATGACAAGTATTTAGTGTGTTTAATTAAGCCATGTTCTTTTGGCATGCACTTGGCCTGAAAATTTTTCTTAATTTATTCTGGTTAAAAAAGATAAATTAGAATGAATACTTTTATCAAGGAAAAGAGGGGTTAAAAAGAATTTACAATTAAAATTTACCATTATAATCAACATAAATATGTACAAAAGTTACATAACTATAGCAAAAATAAAAGAAAATTAATAATAATAATGTGGAAATTGGAAATCACCAGTTTCATGTTAACTCACTTAGAATGCATCTTCTAAACTCCTGCAAAAATATTCAGGTTTTTTAATATGCTAAGAGATGTTTACTTTAACATGAAAGCTAGCCCTTGAAGGAAAAGAGACAAAAGAATGTTCATCAAAATTGGGGAAAAACTAAATTGCAAATTGAAATTTCTGAACTGAAGATGTTAATCCATGAGTGGAACTTGGAAAAATTGAAAAATGAAACTACAAATTAAAACTATGAAAACATATCAATAAAATGTAAAAAATTAAGAGAGAAAAAGTTCTTGAAGTAGATTTAACTTATTGTTGATAGATATTTTAATATACAGTATGTCAGGGAAAACTGGAAGTGATTAGGGAATTTTAAAATTTGAAGTTGATAGACACTAGCACTGCATAGCTTGCATTATTATTATTACAGTATTTTAATATAATTTTTTGTCCAAAGGTATTTTTTCATTGTTGTTAACAAAGATATTTTTCTTTAATGTAACATTTGAATAAAATATTATAATTAGTATATTTAATAATAGTCTTTTTTTGATGATCTTCACATTTTATAAACTATGCATATTATTTTTTTACACCACGGAACTAATTTTGAGTATGAAATGTTAAAGTGGTGAACAGGATTAAATACTTTCTTTAAATAAATAAATCTCAAACAATTTGATTTAAAAAAAAATTTTTATTTTAATAAATTGATCAACTAAATGAAAATCAAATTTGAATATCTTACTTTCTTTTTGGAATGAATAACTAGATGATAAATCTAGTTATTCATTCCAATGCTTCACAAGGAATATAGGAATAATCACAAAGATTCAAAATATAATTTACAGAATCACTATATGATTAGTGTATTTTCTGTTTAAGTAATTTCAAAATTAAAATTTATGTTGTTGATTTTCTAACATTCATTCAGAATTGTTAGAAATTATCTGTTGAATTAACATAATAATAGGTTTAACTGCAAAAATATTCAAGTTTTTAAATATGTTAACAGATTCTATTTACTTTAACATGAAATATTAACAAGTTTTAACGTGAAAATCTGAAAATTATATTAAAATAACTATATTAATTAATAATAATTTTTGGTATGTCAGAAGAGTGGTATTCAAAGTGTCATACAATTATATTTTCACTGCATAATAATCGATATAACAATATATTACAATTTTTAATCTCATCAATATGAAATATTCTAAGGACAAAAATAGTCATCCCATCGAAATAAATTATATCAAAGGGGGTTGTTCATAAAAGGGGTTTATGGCTGTTGGACAAAGTCAGACAGGGTGAAGGGCGGGATCAAGCTTCAGTGGACGTACTTTTATTTCATTAAATTTTGAACAGTATTCATTTTATTATATTTATTTCTAAACTTCTTTGTTTCTTTTTTATGGAAAGATTTAAAAATACTTCTTTTGCGCTGGTAGCAAGAATGTGGCAGAGTTTCCATTTTTAAACATTAAGCTTATTAGCAGATCGGCAATAAAATTTAAAAAGTTAGTTCACCGCATGGTAGAGAAATCTCTATAGGTTGACCTTAATTCTAAGGTATTTAGGCTATTTCATTCCTGAATAGTATAAAATTTGCGGATTTTCGATTACCTCTTTATTTCTTTATTAATATACTACTGAACTGATGGCCGGATGGCCGAGCGGTCAAGGTAACAGCCTACCGCTCTAGGGGACCCGGGATAGAATCCGGATGGGTCGAGAAATTCCCAGGAATTTTTCGGGGGCCTGGCCGAACCCATAATGGGCTTGCTTAAAGAGGCCCTCTTAGTGCCCACAGGGCGAAAAGAGTTAAAAAAAAATAAAGAAAAAGCTGAACTGAACATTCATAGGTATTAAGCATGAACTGCGCACATGAACTAACCCGCCGAGAGGCCGTATCTAATTATGGGTGAAAGATTATTTCGGGATTCTGACATCATGCAGCAAAGTTTGAAAATTACTTGAGATGATCTTGAGGAAGAGTATCTGAAGGACGACATGGCAAAGACTGACAAATGGCGGAGGCAGGTGTAAATGATGATCTCAATTAAGCTTTTCGCGGTAATATGACGTAGTGCTCCACAGGAAATGCATTAAACCAGAGTAGCTTCCCTGTATCACGTTTAAGTATTTATGACACAGAAAATGGTTAAAAATTCTTCTTGTATTCGGATGGAGAAAACGAGAACGGTTATTTGATTACAAAGAAACGGATACGCGTACAAATAATCCCGAAACACAGTTCCACAGGAAGTATTGTTTTTTGCAATAATATATCAAGGAATAATCTGTACTTTCTGAAGAGCAAAGGGCCATTTTTGGTTGCCTTCGCAACATTTCTATATTAAAGACGAGGACGACCTTATGAATCATTTATGCATTTAGATTTAGCATCGAATAACCAATATGATCGGGATATAAAGGTGACGATTCATAAGACGAAATTCGAATATTTCGTGTCTATGCTACGTTGATATAATCAATGAAACGCTATTGCAATGTTTGAATACGTTCCCGAATCTATTGTCCATACAACACAAATATGCGAAAAATTAGATTTTGACGACGTAGTACTAGGCTCTAGCTCCGTTAATCAAAAATAGGAGTAAATGAAGACGTTTCCCAAATAGAATAACAGGGCTAACGAGAAGTGTATCTTAGACAATGCGATTATTGCTTTAAAATGAGTGCACCTGTCTTCGCTTGCAATAACAAAATTAACGTATGGTTATAGTTATAAATTCAAACACTTCCGGTGAGAAAGATTTGCCACAATTTCACAAATGTTCAGCTGATTTTGTATTAAATTAAGCATATAAAAACTTGGAACTAACGGAATTTTAGCACGGCTTTCCTGGTGACATTAAGCATCACTTTAATTAATATTCAAGTTGTCGACTAAATACTGTAGTTATTCGGCGGGTGTGATTCATCAGATCCACGTTACAATGCACGCTTTGTTTTATAATTATGTAGGCCTATATAGAATCATTTCCAGATATGGCCTTTAAATAATCTCTTCCGATATTATGGTATAAATATCGAGTTCTTGTTGTATTTTCGCCAAGTATTTGCTTTAATTTCGTTTTATATTCCCGTGTACGGTCTTGGTTAACGCAAAATGTTTACATTTACATGTTTGTATTTCGTGCCGCCATCACGTCAGCATTTGTCGAACCGTCCCTATTCTAACCCCTATCCCCACACCGGTGTGACGTGGCTTTTTAATCGTTATTAGACACGCTCAGATTCTGAAATTATAGTAGAAAAAAATCCAAAATTGTTCATTAAATTTTTTTTTTTTTTGGTTTAACGCGTAACAAACGAATTCAACAATTGAAGTTGTTGTTGTTGCGTAGTTTTGCTCTTGTTAATAGGAAGAGTGCGATTTGGAAAGCGATTCGATGATGTTTTTTGATGGTGGAGACTATCGACCCCTGCCCCATCCTTCGGGGTAAGAGATTTTTTTACATTTCATTACTATTTATTCGGATAAAAAATTCGTTTTAACAATTAAAGGCTTTAAAGAAAAACTTCCATCTACAATATATAATTAGGCCTAATTAGATTAAATGTAAAGATTGCGACTTTACGATTTTTGTGTCTTCCTGTATTGCTGTCCGCAATAGAGGGCTTTATAAGGCACAGTTCAGGCCTGGCGTTAAGAAGATAATTTAGGGCTTTTCAATTTACTGTTGTTTAAACGCCTCTTTTATATCATTGANTATTTATTCGGATAAAAAATTCGTTTTACCAATTAAAGGCTTTAAAGAAAAACTTACATCTACAATATATAATTAGGCCTAATTAGATTAAATGTAAAGATTGTGACTTTACGATTTTTGTGTCTTCCTGTATTGCTGTCCGCAACAGAGGCACAGTTCAGGGCCTGGTGTTAAGAAGATAATTTAGGGCTTTTCAATTTACTGTTGTTTAAACGCCTCTTTTATATCATTGATTAGATCTAACTCTGGTACTGAAGGGTCGTTAATATGACGAAATTTACTAAAATTTTAAACAGAACTTCGTTTAATAAATATATTTAATATGTCTTTTTTGAAAATAACAGAAAAAGATTTAGACTAGCCGATTTATAAAAGGCCCTTCCCCTTGTCGAATAAACTTAAAAGCACGGAAATCTAATGTAGTTTGAGAGTATAATTAAATAGTTATTGTGTTGTAAATTTTCTCTTTGCATATTTAGGGAGGGATTGGATGTGGACGTGCGAAGATTCGTCAGTCCACACAATTTGGATGATTTTAAATTTCGAGGCAGCAAGATGAAGAAAGGCCTCTCGAAGCAGTTCGAACCCTCGACCGGTGCTTTCGAAGGTTTGGGCGTGTTTGAAAATAACATCAAGCCGGCTTATAGACAAGCTGTGATGAAGGTTCGACCAATCTGTCAGACGGCCTGCCAACGTTTTAACAGGTAAATTACATTACTGTTTGTATATAATAAACTTGT